TCTCACTTAGGCAGCAAGAATATGGACAGTACAATTATCTTGTCTCTTGGCCTTGATGATTCAAAGGAAAATACACACACAGGAAACAAATCATTTGAATTTGCTAATATGTATTATAATGTAAATATACATGGAATAGACATGGACACAGAATGGAATATTCAGGAATAACTAGAAAAATATCTACTATTTATTGAGCTACTACTATATACCAGATTCTTTATATTCACTACATCATTTAAATTAAAATCATCCTATGAGGTATGTTTTATGATCACCATTTGTCCCAGTGGTGTTTCAAAGATATTAGGTAATTATTCCAAGGACACTGAGCTGGTTAGTAACAGAGCTACAAATTTGAACCAGGTTTGTCTGACTCTGAAGCTTATATTTTTTTCAAACAATCTGCTTTTCAAAGTCATGACAACTACTGGGAATAGCACGGAGTTGTACTATACTGTCCATATTCAAAGAACTATTTGCTGAGCTTTCTTCTAGGCACAATGATAAATGATGTGGAATCTAGAGATCAAAGTTGAGGTGTTCCTGCCCTTATGGAACCCATAGGCTAGTGGGGAAGTCTAAAAAGAATATTAATGAATATGAACATATTGGGCATTGACATCCATCAAGGTCAAACTCTGCAAAACTCTATCAGTGAATTCTGCCTTTAAGTTAGAGTGATCAAACCAGTGCTGAGGCGAAATGCCAGCTGGAACCTCAGCAAATAGTGGTAACTCTCAAAACAATATAAATTGCTTGGGGGCATAAGGAAATAGGAGAAACTATCCAAGAACTTCACCAAATAGGCATTCTATACCCTTCCCATGATGCTTTCAATAGCCTGGCACGGCTGGTAGAAAAGCCATGTGGCTCATGGTAGATGACCGACTTCTGCCCATGGGCCACGAAGTTTCAATCGCACTGTACGTGTGTGCCCGCATGTGGTATTTTGTGGAAGAGCCACACTCAAGGGGCCAAAGAGCTGCACGTGGCTCATGAGCTGCAGTTTGCCAACCATGGCCATATAAATATCTATGCAATATGCCCATCACTGTCACCATCTTGGATACCCTGGTCACACTACTAGCAGTGTACCGTGCTGTACGGGGCTTAGCACATGCTTTTTCCCGTATACCCCAGCCTCTGAGTCACAAGATCGATATGCCCTCACCTGGGCAGGGCCACATGGAGTTCAAGTGCTTCCCCAAGGCCAGCTGCACAACCCTGCAATGTCTGGAGATCTGTCCCTGTTCTCCTTCCCCATGTCAGCAGATGTACCGTTACATGGATGATGTAATGTTGACATGTGGAGACTTGCCCCTGCTGCAGGACACTGCAGAAATGGTTAATGACAAGGTGCAAGCTCAACTCATCCAACCCCTAAGAATGTGAAAGGGGTGCAAGTTTTTGTAGGGATTTGGTGTCTGGAGAGGACTTTTATTCCCCACTGGGCACAGCACCTCCATCTTTATACCACCTAGAAAGGAAAGGACATGTGTGGGTCTGGGGATCAGGACAACAGCCACCTTTGAGAAGGCAAAAATAGTAGTGAAGCAGGTTTAAGCTCCAAGCCTCTTCCAGGCAGGGCTACCATTTGAGAGAAATGTGTCTGTGATTCTGGAAGATAAGGGTCACACTCTCTGTTAGAAATCACAGAAGAGAGTCCCTTAGGACTTTGGTCCCAATCCTGGAAGGAACAGAAACCTGATATAACCCCCTAGAGCTACAGCTCCTACCAGTGTGACAGCACTCTGCCAGGTAGAACCTCTCACGAAGGAGCAGCATATCCTGGTAAGAACTTCCCTTCCTACCACAGGGTGGACTGAGAATGTTTCCATCAACTCATCTCTGCCAGGGCTCAGGCTCCCGCTTTGACGAAGTGGATGCCTATTTGCAGCAGAGCAGCACCCTGTCCACCAGCACTCAGGCACTCCTATGTTGGGAACAAAAACCACTGTAAACAGAACCACGCCAGTTGTACCAGGGATATAGGATGGATATCATGGAACTGTGCAGTCAGTCTGTCACGTTAAAGGATAGAGACCAGTTTGGTATCGGCAGACTGGCTGGACTGCCAAGGTATTTATTGGGTAGCGCCAAATGGGACCTAATATTTGTGTGGCACAAATCTTTGGCCATGGCTTTCATTTAGGTTGTTGAGTTGCAGTACCCTGGGTTTTCCCCAGGTGTAGGAGGGAACCTGCCCCATAAGAACAAAAGTTGCCTACCTCCCTCTTCTCAAGGCTAGAGGGGCACCTTCTGTTTTCCACTGGTCCATTCTGTTTTCCACTGGTCTGTTCTGTTTTCCACTGGTCCGTTCTGTTTTCCACTGGTATGATTAAACATCTGCCACCATCCATTGACCTGGAGGACCCTATAGCACACAAATAAGCCCTTAGTACGTTCACCCAACAAGCCTTAAATGATAGCTAGTAAGCCTGTCCTTGCTGAACACTGAAATGTCTCCAATGAGAAAAGCTGTCCTCCAAAATAAGATGACCTTGGCGGTTATTACTGGCTCACAAGGCGGCACCTGTGCCATTATCTAAGCAGAACATTGTGTGTTTATACCTGATGACTCAGCGAATGTATCATCTTTATTAAAGTACATGTAGATACAAGTGAACACCCTGAGTGATTCAACGCCCAGCCTAAGGAATTTAATAAATCAGTGGTATGGATTATGGGGCTTTTGTGGAAAAATTGTTACTTACTTTGGGAATCATTCTCTTAATCTGTGTTTTCTCTTGCATGCGCCTACATTGTTGCTATGGTTTCTGCCTCTAGTGCAGCCGAATAGCCGCCAATGAACCACTTCCATGCTGGTGAAACCCCTTGCTCAGGGCACATTGTGGAAAGGGGCAGCGTGGGTGCATGTAAGATTGTAAGAGCCAGTCATGAGGAGTCTTGGAGGAGGTCATCAAGAGGACATGACCCTGAGCAGGACCTGAGCAATCAAAGGCTCCTCATCCCCTCCCCTATTCTTGGGATGTACGTTCCACTTGCCTTCCCCATATCAGAAGCTGTCTCAAGGACAGCCTTGACACAGTAAGGAGGTTGTTGAGACCATCTAGACAATATACCTGACTGAACCTGTTAAGGTCTCTACATAAACTTTTAAAATTTTGGTGGGCAGGGGCAGAGATCTACTCCTATTGTGGCTGCCCAAGACAAAGCCTTGTAAGTCCCCTTGCTTGTTAACACAGCCACCTGCCAATCTGGAGTGGCCTGCTTCTTTCTTCCCTCTCTCCTTGACCTCGCTGTACGGCGCCAGTTACAGATTTCACCAGGGAATTCCCAAGGTTTTGAACCAACATACGCATACTGCTAGTGTTCTTGATTTGAGCTTCTCTAGATGAGATTTGGTCTTTCTTTACATGTCTAGTGGCTCTGTGTTTCCATTGTCTGTGAAATTACTGATCCTACTTTTGTCCATTGTTTTCTTGGGTCATGAATGATTTTATATATTCAAATCTTTGTCCTTTTTTACTTTTGGGGTGCTCTTCTTCTTGGTGGTAGGTAGAAATTTTTTATTCTTATACTTTTATGAAGTGCTGTAAATGTCTTCTACTTTGAAAAATTTCTTTGAAACATCTTTGTATAAATAGAAATTTCTTATTTTAATGTAGTTGAATTATGGTATAATATACAGGTATTGTAATATAGAAATCCACACCTGAAACCTGTATATTTGTGTTGACCAATGTCACCCCAATCAATTTAATAAATAAATATTTAAAAAAATAATGTAGTTGAATTTATCTATTCTTTCTTTATGGCTTCTGTCTTTAATATTTTATTTAGTATTGCTATTATAATTTTCTGGATACAAGGCTTCCAGAACATCATTTGTTAATTTACCCATACGTTTATTATGTTTTTTGTCATAAGAGTATTCAATTATTTTGTATGTAAGTTAATATAAATAAAATTACATATTTTTCTCACTCTAGGTTATAGCCCCAATGATTTGCAATTAAACTTCTTAATCTCTTTAAAAATTCCCAAATTAAAGAACCACTCTGGGCATCTGTAAATATGCGTAGTGATATCAGTAATATCCTATTTTACCATTAGAGTTAATCTAGTGTCCAAATAGGAAAAAACTCCATGAGCATCAGCCTTACAGAGCTTTAATTTGAGTCATAATTCTGAGGATGCTACAAACTAGTTCGGCTAAAATCTATGTAACTAACCTTTGCATTCTAGAAGGGTCAGATCTGCGCACAAATCCATTTGTGAAGCCAAAAGCTGCTCTGGTGTAAATGTGCCACCAGGATCCATTTCAGAACACTGCTCCTTCTTGCCAAGGTCAGCGGCTATCACCGAAGTAACCAGAGAATGCCGGTGTCCTCACTCTCAAAAAGATCGCCTGTTTTGCAACATTAAATTTCAGCCCTTCCTGTCCCTTTTTTTTTTCTTTTTATGATGAAAATCTATTTTGTTTATCATTATAAGAAAAGATGACTACCTTTCTATGAGAGGTTTTGATAGAAAAAAAAGGTCTTAAGATTTGGCCTAGGAAATAACAATTTCCTCTTATAGCAAGTTCTATTTTCGAAGAAGTTGAGAAAATGAATACATTGTCTCCAGATTTCCCCACATTAGAGATTGCCCTGGAGCTTTATGGCTTAAGCCTAAACTCCAGGTGTCAGAGTCTCTTCTTTATTTACTCATTTAATTTACCTGGTATACTTAGCAGTCAGCATTTCTCACCTTTCTAAGAGTGCACTCACTTACACTGCCCTCAGTGTATGTAATTAGGATAAAAACCCTGGAATGAAAGGCATTTAAAACGAGGCAGGCAAACATATACAGGGTGGGATGAAGCCAGATTTGCTTTGAATAGGATCAGTTTAGTTTTATTTCAAACATAAGTTCCAAATACAGCCCTTTTGACCTGCATACTCCATCCCTAAATGGGAAACTAAACATTCATGAAAATTTAATGGCGAGGAAATTAGTACCTTCTTATGTTTCAGACTGTGAAATGGCACCAGGGAGCGCTTTCAGCGACAGGCAGGCGTGTGTGGATGTGCTGGGCCAGACCTGAAACATTGGTCTCTTCAACCTGTCATCCTTCGCCAGGTCAGCCGGTGGCTGAGGCGCTCTGACAGGACACCCCCAGGATGCCGCCCAAGAAAGGTATTTCAAATAAAGACCTGGTTGTAGATATTCTACCTTTCTTAGAGATTGGACACTGAAAAGACTTTTCACAATTTTTGTTCCCTCTTTGGGGCTTTTCCCTTTTGACGTGTGTGTGTGTGTGTGTGTGTGTGTGTGTGTGTGTGTGTGTGTGTGATATTTCTTCAACTTCTTTTCTTGAATGGACATATGGTTTCACCAACTGGTAATGCTCAGACTTACCTTTCTTTCATATAGGAAGACAATGGGGGAAAGCAAAATACACTGAGATTCCAGTGCAGCAACTCAAATTCGGGGTTCAGTCCATAACAGTGACCTACCCTGAGAGTGGTGTGTGGGTCAGCTTGGTGAAGGAGACCTGTTCTGCTTTAGTTCGTGGATTAAATACAGTCTGAATTCAGTAAAGCTGAAAAGGAGGATTAAGACAGAGCAAGTGAGAAAAAGAGACATAAAAACTATTGTTTGCTCTTTATTCTTTTTTCTTACCTTCTTTTGATTAAGTGTTTTTAAATTCCATCCTGTCTCCACTATTGGTATATTAGGATATATTTTTTGTTGTTATTCCATTTTAGTGGGTTTACAATATACATCTTTAACTTATCGAACTCAACCTTCAAGTAATGATACACTGCTTTACATATATTTTAAGAATGTCACAATAGTATAATTTTATTTCTCCCTCCTGTACTTTGTGTTATTGCTTTTACATATTTTAATTCCTTATATATTTTAAAGTCTACAATTTATCATTATTATTTTTGCGTTAAATGTTCATATATCTTTAAAATAAAGAAACAAAGCCTTTTTAATTTACCAATATATTATCTTTTCCAGTGTTTTTTCTTCCACATTTTAGATCCAAATTTCTATCTGGTATCATTTTCCTTCTGCCTAAATGACTTTCTTTAATATTTCTAGTAGTATAGGTTTGCTGGCAATGAATTTTTTCAAATTTTGTATGTCTGGGAGAGTCTTTACCTTAATTTTGAAAGACATTTTTTGATGGAAATTATATATATATATATATATATTCATTCCTTTTAGTGCTTTAGAGGTTTCTTTTTTTATAGTTTCTGATGAAAAGTATCATAAATCTTTGTGTTGCTTTGCTCTGGCTGCTTTTAAGGTATTCTCAGAATTACTATGGGTTGTCTATTGCACAATGTCTGAAAAGAGATATTACGTGTATTTTATCTGACTTTCTAGTTGCTTAAAGTAAGAGAGTTAATGTATTCCTAGTTACTTCACTATGGCTAGAAGCTAAATTCCAATACTATGTTTATAGTATGCTTGGGCTTAATTTTCTGATTCCCTTAATTTATCATGACTTTTAGGTAATGTAAGCAGGTACATGAGGATATCTACAAACATGTTTTTCTACTTTGGAGTAGTTCTCACAGACCTGGCTTTTAGGCAGTGATATAGATTTTTATTACCTGGGTTCCTTATGCCAATATTCATAAATATTGAGTACATCCATATGGAATATTATAATGGGAAAAGAAAGATAAAATACTATTCTTGTCTGATGTCTTCATAGATCTTGGAGGGACTTGAAGGAGGGTCATGAAGTCCCTAACTCTTTATTAAGTGAGACAACATTAAAAGGATTCAGACCAAAATTGTCCTAGACAATAAAAAACATACCAATGAAGAAGCCAAATCTCTACATTTTTTTTCCTCCTGTGACACATTCTATAACAATTGCTTCAATTTAGAAATTTTAAGATGAATTCAAATATATTTCATAAGTATGTGAGAATTCTTCTTCCTCCTCTGGTTGTTGTATGGGAAAAAGTCAGTTTCCATCAATGTAGAGATTCATATTTGCCACTACTGTTGTTAAGTTATCCTTTTATCTCCCTGAGTTTGAACAAGCTGTGCACCTTTGATGCATTTAACACAATACTTACTGATTATTGAATACGACAAAATATTACAGACATTCCTTAACTTGAAGAAGCTCATAACCTATTGGGGAAATGAGACAAATACATAGAAAATGTTAAAAAGTAGTATAAGACCATAATGAGAAGGATGGTTGAGTGCAGGATATGAAGTGTGAATTCAATTATAGAGGCAATATACACTATGTACTTTTTTTCATTTCCAACTAGTTAATCTTCTTCTATGGCTCTCTAGTGAACATTCTTCAGTTTATTCAGATCATTCCTTAGATGCAGAGCTGAAACATTTAGTGTATATAAATCTGAACAGCTATGAATATGTTTGGATGATTACAACTTTCTGACTGCTGTACTTCTGTTTTTGTATCCCAAACCCGTTCTTGCTCTTATCACTACACCATGTCATTATCTCTTGGCAGTGTGGAAAGTGGAACAAATGTTGGAATCATGCAGATCCAGGTTTGAATCCTTTCTTCATTTCTTGCAGGCATTAGAGCTTGAATGAGTATGTTAAGGGCAATTTGGTAAAAGATAACATATTCCAGCTTAGCTAGCCTAAGCTAAAACACAGCGAGAGGTGGCATACACTCATAGAACCCAAAAGCAAGAATGAAGTTGAATCTCAAGCTCAGCTAGAACTGGAGACTAAAGCACTATAGCAAACCCAGAAAATTGTCTTTGTTTCTTACTTCTATAAATCTGCTTCATTCTTTCTGGCTCCCTGTGATTTTCTCTCTTTTATAGTAGTCATGACAGGTTAGGCAGAAGCTAAGAGTGGCTAAAGCTTTCATTTCTCAGCCATGTGGATGAATAAACTTGTATTTTTTAAATCAAGGCATAGTTCACAGAAAATATAGAGAAGCTGGTAGAAAAGTTCCCATAAAAGCGTATTAATTGGGATAATAAAGTGTTGGTTGTTCACTATAACTAATAATTTCATCTCTTTTAGGCTAACTTACTTATATGTACAAAATCCTCCAAAAACACTCTCTTCTCCCTTTCTTCCTTTCCAGTCAACCTTTATTCTCTGTTATAGAAAATGTTTTTGCTAAGTGTATATAATATGAATTACCTGAAAAGAGGAATATGTGTTGGTTTGAAATATGATTGAATCATTGAAAACAGCTTACATTTTCATAATTTATCCATACATTCCTCCTGAGCCAAGTAGATGCAATGGAAAGTAACAGGGGTTGAGTGATTTTGGTAATTCTTCACCCAAGAAGGTTGTTTGCAGAGGTGAGGATTGTACAGCTATAGAAGCTGCCTGTGGGGTGAACTATTGGGGCAGTACCTGAGGGAATTTAGCAAAAGGCCCTCAGTGGGATGCATTAACCAAGTCAAAAACCCAAAGTGTGAGAGTGTCCTCAGTGCAAAAGAGATGGTTCTGAAGAATGCACAAAATTTCCCCATGCAATAGCCATGAGATGAACCACAACAAGGCATGGTGGTCACCCAGTGTGAGCAAAAACGCTTAACTTTTTGCCCTTCCAATACTCTTTTACTATTCCATTCCATGCAAGAACTAGAAACCACACACTGAGTAGAGGAGGCATAAGTTAGGAGAAATGGTTGAAGAGATGACTCCATTCCCTCCCCTACTTCAGTCTCCATGACTAGGTTCTTGGCATGAGTAAATAGGAGATGCTTTGAATAGGATATGAGATTGAAGTCTTAATTTATATTGGACTGGATATTTTAATACTTTAATACCAGAAAATGAATTATCAAGGTGATGTGGTTCATATAACTGTAAATGACCAGAAAGCTACAGGATCTGCCTAAAATGTTATCTAGGGCTGGGAAAGTGAAATCTGATGGAGCCTGATTAAAGGTAGCATTTGTTTACCCTTTCCACAAAGGATCACTTATTGAAGTGAACTGTAATTATAGTTAGTAGGGCATATAATATATTTTGATATAAAAATCCAGTTCTTCCTCTAAAGAGAGCTAGTTAGAACCTTAAAGCAAGACAGCTAAGGAATTTCTTATAGGGCGGTATGGCTCATCCACTATCTGTGTGTTTCATCCTGTTCCTGGTCTAATCTTAGCTGGGATGTCTACTTGTGATTACAGGGCTTTAATTACCTATGACAGAGGGTTCACAATCTTGGCTTTCTAACTCTGAGAATGACTTCATGATGCTACACAAGTATTTTTCTACTCCTGAGATCTAATGGTCTCTTAATTCTCATGTTTGTTCTTTCCCCTTGAGGGGAGGGTTGTCTACAACCTTCCTGTCTAGTTTGAAGAGGTCTTTCTGCCAACTTGATATTAATGCTAGTTTTTGCTAAAAGTCAAAACTAAAAATCGGTTCCCCATTTATGTAACCTCATAACATTTCCTGGGTAATAAATAATTAAACAGCCTTCCCAACAATAGTAGTTGAGTTTTTTTTCTTTTTCTGTTTTGCTTTTTTTCACCTCATGGCCAATATCTTATGCAAATTAAGCTTGCAACTAGCCCAAGCCTTTACATACGGTGATTTTGTGAAATGGGATTCTCTATTTCAAATATATTTCCTTTTCATTGAACTTACTGAATTTCATTCCAGTCAATTTTCCAGTTCTTAAACATCTGGCTTTTGAGAGGCAATTACCAATACATGGCATCTTCTCCCACCCCCTTACCCTGTCTTTGAAAATATGTTTTTGATTTAAGCAAGAAAAGCTTTCCTGCTTTTGTGCTTTTGCTCCAACTCTCCAAATATACAAGTAGTTTTAGAATTCTAGAGTTTCTCTAGTGCATCTATAATAAAAAAGTTTTCTTATAGATACACTTGAGGCCTGGTGCATGAATTTGTGCATGGGTGGGGTCCCTTGGGGTGGCCTGTGGGGATCGGGCCCCAGCTTGTGCCCACAGCCTCACAGCTCCGCAACCCCATCTGGTACCCTGCCATGGCCTGGAGCCACCCCTCACCTGCTCCACCATCCCGCTGCGGTCCTGCTCTTGTCGGGGCCCATTGGGGCTGGCAGCGCCTCCACTGCCACCTGCTGCTAGCACCGTGTCACCGACACCCACCATGTTCCATGCCGCCCCCTGGTGGTCAAACTCCCGGTCAAACAATTTGCATATTAGGCTTTTATTATATAG